ATTTTCTCAATTTTCATTCTAACAGATTTAAAGAACATGGACCGCACTATATACAAGTCTTTGTCGTTACTACATTTACCTTTTTATCATATAAAATAATTAAAATGATTACTTTGATTAAAGTTTATCATGCATCAACTTAAAATTGTTATAAAGTTTATTATTTTGGAATTTTACTTTTTAGTACACGATAAAAGGATAGTATATGTATTATGCAGCTGAAATAATATATTCAATTTAAAGCTCGAATAATAAAGTATTGTAATCCGAGAAGCTAGTGACAGTAATTTATGTCGCTTTGTTTACTACATTACAGATCGCACATTTACTTTTCACTACGCAGATGAATGCGCGTTACGGATGATCAGGAAACGGAAACATTTCTGATATTACATTATTAACGAAACAACATGCTACTAGCTGAAAAGGCACTCTGATCGCATGTAGTCATGGAACGTACAATGGCATGCAATGCATCAGATAATAGAGCTAATATATCTGTATAGAATAACAAAATAAATATCAAGTTGTATAATATTATGTCGATATATATCATGTAATATTATGTCTGTGTACATATATATATATATATATACATGTAACAATAAAAATGTATTCTTCATTTATCTCATTATAAAACAATTCTTTTAATTTATATATAATACTAATGTCCAAATTGTATCTCATGTAACAATTTTTTAAAAATATGTACGTTCAGAATTTAACTGACAGACTGAAAAAGTTGACATAATTTTCTGCATTATTTACACAATATTAATTTCGCAAATATATAATATAACAATATTAAATATATAGCATTATAATATTTACGACATTTCAACCAAATTTTTAGATCTGTCTACAGAATGCTGACGAGAACTGAAATGTATCGAGTTATTTTGTAACAGTGAGCAACGGAAATATCTGAGAAGTCATACAAGATTAAACGAATGCAAAACTTGCACAAGTTTCAGCAATATCGGATTATGTAGGATTTCAGTGATAAACTCCGACGTGGCGCGGCACCTTGGCCCGACAGAAAAGCCAGGCACAATCAATCATTAAAAACAGATGGCAGTTGTAACTTGCAATGCTAATGAATGTCTTATAGATAAAAGCGCGTTTTCCCAAGCGACAGACTTAACAATGAAATATATTCTGCAACTCGGAGATATAGTAACCCGTCAGTACGCTTTTCTACTGTCATCTCTGAAGAATATATTCGTCGTTGAATTAGAAATTTTATTTTATTATAAAATTTACTATAAATATTAATGTTACATTATGTATATATATTTTTGTATAATAGTGTTTTACATTATTTTATTACTTTAATCTCTTATTAAGTGTTCCAATAAACTGATTCTATAATATCATGAATAACTGACATTGCATCAGTAATTGATGAAATATCATCAGTTGTTGTATAATTGAACAGTTTATTGGGACATTAATCAATTCTCTTTGTTAAAGGATTCTAATACTATATTACAAATATATTATATTGCGCTTCACTGTGAAGCATATCTATTTTTGTTCAATGTCTGCCGACAGACATATTTTGCACATGTTACGCTCGTGTCAACACATGTCACATCCAAAATAGAAAAATGAGTAAATTTAAAAGACAGATTTTAATTATAATAAGAAATAGCGAAGATAACATGATTTCCTGTTAACGATCTGCGATCTATATCTAACAGATGCGAAAATGTTTGATATAATTTCCATTCGGATGATGATTATTGAAGTTTCCGCAATTTCGTGAAGATCTGATTCAACTACGAAGTTCTGCTAAATTTATGACATATTGCCGCAAATGCCGTTATAGATATAACGGAAACCATGTGGTAACTCAATCAGCAAAATTAATGTTTAAATTTCCCACATATTTGAGCAAACGAAACCGACTCGCTTTAAATATATATATCAAATTTATTCCGGAAAATCGTAATTCAAGTTGCAAGGAAAAAATGTATTGTACGTTATAAGCTCATAATGCGTGATTCCTTAATTAACAATGATATAAACATAAAAATAATGAGCATGCAGCCACAAACACAAGGATGTTGTTTGCAAAGTAATATATATATATTTTTTTAAATTAATTAATATAGAATTCAACGTTTCGGTCACTATCTGACCATCTTCAATACAATTAAAAAATTTCTATACATATAATAAGACAATGGTAATAAAACTAATTAACTTTTCGATGTTTCTTCTTGTTTGCATCTACGATTTCAGCCGTTATCACATTGAAATTTATAACTATGTTTTTAACATCGGATTTCCAGATTCGGTGTTTTTTTTAAACGGTCATTTTAATTTCTATACGCCAGTATTATAACTGTGGACTCTTTAACCAACGGAGGCCCTCATTGAATTGTACATACAGCATTATCCATATTTACACTGATGAGTTTAAATTTATCTACCGATCGAAATGTGTGTCTTGCGAAATGCGTTATACGAAAGCAGAAAAAGTTGATATGATTTTCATCTATGGTGATCTATATATTTCGCAAGCACGTACTTCGATTGATAGATAAATTCAAACTGATCAGTAAATATGAATAACGCTGTGTGCGATTCAATGTTTATTTATATATCGTGATATACTCAAACGATATACCAATAAACAGAGAAGACACGAAATTATTCGAAGAGTGCCTTAAAACATTTTATTTTCCATTCAATTATTTTCCATTGACCTTGCGTAACCTTGAATGACATTCAATTATAGGTCACTGTATTCTTAAAATGTTCTATCAAAATATAAATAAAAAAACGTATCATTCCATTTAAAAAAAACAGTTTTGACCTTTGCCTATCCTTTATGTCTCCACCTATAAAACAATTATTAATAATACATTATGTATTGTTAATCCTCAAAACCAAGCAATTTTCGTTTGATACTTTTTCTTCTATTGTTAAAAATAAGCTAATTATTCAGGTGATATATCTGTTTTAAATGCCTCACCCTGTATATATTATATACATATTAGAAAAATATATATAAAGTCAGTTCTCAATATAATTGTCCAGCTTTACAACACATTCGTGTAACGATCTACAAATCTTCCAATACCGTTTGCAAAGATTTTTAGCTGCGTTTGAAGTCATACATGCACCGTTTACTAAACAATAGTATATGTATGAAATCTTACCTTCTTTCACATATATATCCAGTTTGTACTCTTGACTTTGCTACTTCGATTTCCATTTGTTTGGACCATTAACAGCGTTGTTCCACCTTCAAATAAACTATGTGTTTATCTCATGTTTAACTCATTTATCTAATGGACAAAAGAAAAAGCGAAAGAGAGAAGGAGAGAGAATGAAAGCAAGAGCGAAAACAAGAAAGTGTATATCGAAAGATTTTTATCGAAAGATAAAATAATCTTGTCAAAAAGAAGTTCTGCGTCTGATTATACCAGACTAATCATACCAAATTTCATTTCTTACATCAATTAAAAGAAATGAACTTATTTTTGATCAAAGCTGATCTTAGTGCTTAAATATCTCAGTATAAATTATTTAAGTACATATCCAATTCTGCAAACCGCGAACTGAAATCTTAAAACGCAATCGCAGACAGAACTAAAGTCATGTCACATATTAAATTGACAAGTAATTTAATAATATTGATGTTATTAATAATTTTTATTGCTCATACAAACATCTTAAAAACTATATATAATTTATTGCGAATGAAATATTTAAACATTAAGATCTATTCTTTAATTAAAAATAGATTTATTTTTCATAATTTTATTTATTTTTCTTAATTAATATATTCTCGTTGATTTAATTTCGAACTATAATTGTTCAGTTCTTAGAGTTTAGGAAACGATGTAACGTGGAGATAGAGTAGCTCGAAACCTTTGCAGACAAAATCAGAAGACTTGTAAATTGTTACACAAAATGTTTGTTGGAAAGCGATCATATTAAGAAATAAAAATGTTTTGCTAATGTGTATCGTACGTGAGAAATAAATTTTCTTATTTTCCGATTTTTCTTCGTATTAAATCTTTAATATATTTTTGTATTAAATTTTAATGTTATTATTTATCGGTGTATATACAAATTATATTATAATTAAGAAGCAGTACAAAATGTCTTAACATATTAGGTAACAAATTACAATTGATTGTAGTGCTGGTTAATTTGAAATAATTTAATATGAAATAATTTAAAATGTATGTAAATGCACCTCTTTTACATTTAGTATCATAATGTCTCTGATATAATTACGAAAATTAGAATTTATGAATGAATTATCATTCATAAATTATATATGTTGTACTCTGCTAACCAAGCTTCCAAACATATTGTAACCGCATTAATAGTAAATTGTAATAACAGATTTCACCGTGATAAAACACGAAAATTCGAAATACGACAAATTGAAATGTAGAACGAGAAAGCTCGTGATTAATTTGTCATTAATATGTTCCAGCGGCTACAGTTGTAATTGCACAAGATATATATGCAAGTTTTAATAGACAGTAATTCCAATTTCCGTAATAAGCACAGAATATTTTTGATAATTTGTACTCATGATAAATTAACACCTATACAGTAATAATAAGCCAACGACATATAAATGCGTTGCTGTATTTTAACTATGATCTTTTAAATCAAGGAAAACAAACTTCATTAAGTAGGTATATACATCTGCTATATAATATTTGTATCATTTAAGTCATAATTTCATGCAATATTTTAAATTGTATTTTTATTTCTCAATTCAATCATACCTCCAAAGTTTATGTGATGCGGATATGTCATCACATTAATTTCCTTTTTTATTTAAAAGCACTATCAGAGATTTATTATAAAGACTTCGATTTCTTTTAAACTGCTAATTTCAACTATTTTTGTAATTGTTATATTTCGTTTTCTTCTTTTGATTTAATGATGACTTGCCGATGAAATAACGGCAATTTCAGTCAAAAGCGGTACATTTCGTCACTCATCACCGTTTGGCTTCCTAGGTCGTTGATAATTAGCAGTAGAGCTGCAGCCCAGACGCATTAACGTCACACACAATCAAGAAGCGGCGACACCGATGACAATGCTAGGCTCAGAACAACGGCAGTAAAAGATGGTGGACAAAGAAAAACTGAGAATAACGAAGGCGAAGGCCCCACCACCACCGCTGAATCTCAGCGAGGCGATCGAGGATGAAGTGCTGAACCAAAAGACTGCTAGAAGTGAGTAAAGCACCGCATCTGCCTCATACAAAATGTGCTACGAAGCGTGCAAAGATTTAAAGCTGTCTCGGCAATCCTAAGTAAAATGTGAATATATGAGAAGTGTAGAAAAATGAAATTCACGTTCTCCATTTTCCAAGATTTACGGAAAAGCCGGAAAAACTACTCATCCATTTGAAGCACTGAATTGCCTGGATTTCTTTTAACCAATTGGTTTTCTTTCGCAATTTCCGCTTTCTTCTCTCAAATCAAACAATTTTTTTTGTTTTTACAATGCAATATCGTGTATAACCATTTATTATATCTCTATAATAACGGTGGGCTTTATTATAAATGAAATAAATATATACAAATATAAATTACTTACATTCAGAAACAAGCCTTAACAGTCAAGTTAGATCTTGGGTGCTTCTATAATCGCGTGTGAATTTATATACTACGTATGTAGATTAATTGCGCGCCGAATTACTTTCAGACTTGAAACGCAAGCTCTACTAAACTATCGCAATAATATCACAAGTGAAATTGATTAATATTTAACAATTTTTGATCCTCTTTACGCATCTTTGATCGACATACGTAGTACATAAATTCACACTCGATTATAGAAGCACTCAAGATCCAGCTTGACCGTTAAAGCTTGTTTCTCAATGGTTTTAATTCTTACGGTCTTATAAGATTTAATATTATAAATTACTTATATTTATAACAAATATACAAAAGTGTGTGTATATATATATATATATATTTATTGTTCAATGAATTATATAATTCAGAAATGTAGTATAATTGTAGTATAATATTATACGGAGATCACTTTAATCACTTTCTTAAATACACAGATAAGATGAAGATAATTTCTTTGAAGAAACTGCCGCGTTTATTTTTCGCCTCGTTTAATCTATTTATTTAGAAAAGAAAAAAGAAAGAGAAAGAGAGGGAGAAATTAATATTGTAAATACGCTTTTGTGTAATTAAAAAATTTTTTGCATATTTTTCTGTTTGTAAACTATACAGTCCATACAGTCGCGCGGAAATAAAAAGATATTTAATTTGCATCGGACATTCGCAAAATCAACCATTCAACTAATTAACGACACAGTGTGCACTCCCGTATTTCATTCCCGCTTTCCTTCGTTTCACCTCAATTGCACATACGATCGATATCTGTGCGGACCGAAATTTTCTATAAAAACAGTGTGCACCAAGTAACGACAGCATGTGTGCGCTACTACGTGACTGTCAAAAGTTAAAATAAAAAGCGAGTAACGTGCACAAGCGAATTAATTGAATCCGTATTATTTCACGTTTCTCGTTTAAGATCACTTTCGCAAAAACCATTACAAAGCGGTTGAAAAATTAATCTGCGTACATCTATGTTGTATTAAAAATACGATTCAATGTGTATTTTACAAAACCAATATAAAAAAAAAATAAAAAAATAATTTCTCTAGATCTAAATTACTGCATAGATAGAAAAATGATTCGACGTATTTCATAAAAAAAAACATTGTAAAGAGATTGAAAAACGTTACGCTCTGGAAAAGTCATTTGATGTATTTTGATAAAGATTCGAATGAAATTATTTTCTAATAATTTATATCAAAAATTAATTTAATAATATTGTAAAACAATTCATATGCTTTAATTGTGCAATTGTATAAAACTACTACATTTTATAGATAGTAAATACTCAATTTTACATGCTTTCTTGTATTATATTTTTTGTCAGTTCTTAAGAATGATCTTCTTCTACACGAGGCTGTGATAAAGAACGAAGCGGACGCTGTTCGTAAAGTACTTAAGGAGACTGTCGACGTAGATTCCAGAAATAACGTAAGTCATTATAAATGCTTCGAAGAAAAATATACACAGAATGCTTTTCAATTTAAAGTCTGCTTTATTTTTGACAAATTTTTAATTGAATGTCATTAAAAGCGACAAGCACTTCTAATATTTATTATTAAATCTAGTATGGTCGCGCTCCGATTCATTGGGCAACATCTAGAGGAAACACAGAAATTATTGAAATGTTAATACAAGCCAAGTGCGATATTGAAGCGAGAGATAAGGTATAATACATTTTCCCTTTTCCTTTTTCTAATTATAATCTATTAATAAAAATAAGCGACGGGATTCATTAAATATAATAGTAAATTGAGATAACAAAATAAAATATAAACAGTTCCTTGTAAAAAAAACTCTTACACGTAAAAATAAATGGAGCCTTTAGATTTAATACCGTTGAGTGCTTCCACATAGAAAATTAATGTAAACGTAGTAACCCATAAAAGGGCACTTTATTACAAATTACGTTAATACGTGTTTGGAGCGACACTTCTTTTGGAATTTAATCTAGACGACGAGCGACTTGATGAAATTCTTCGTCGAACATTAATTTCCCGACTATTCATTTCTCTTTCAAGTATGGAATGCGACCCTTGCATATGGCCGCCCAACATGGACACCGAGACGCAGTAAAGATGCTGATCAATGCTGGAGCAAACGTATCCGCGGTTAACAAGGTATCATAATCGTCCTTCAACAATCGTTTCATTAAACATTTTATATAAAAGTGGATTCAAAATTTGCTTGAAATGAAATTTACGACACTTCGCAAGTGTCAAGACTCTGTAAAATTTGTTAAGCATACATAAAACTTGTGCGGAATATTGTGAAAATAGTCGCGTGAAAAAAGTTTGATTTAGATAACGAGGAAACTTAGTTCAAATAATTGCAAAAAATTTTAACCAACGGAAATTTGCAGAACATGCTGTACAGAATTAAATCAAACGTTTAATTAGAGTTTATTGATCGCGGATATTGTACAAAAAGGAAATATTGAAACAGAAATCTCGCGGAGGTCGTGAAAAAAAGTGAAATAAGTCACCGGGAAACCACGACGGAGTTGAAATCAATAACGTGTCAATATTGATATTGGCATCGGTCTTAAATAATAGGGAAGCGCTTTCATCATGGCTCCTTGGCGCGTCGCACAGCATTTTATCACGCACGATACGAAGAAAGTGAGAGACGTGAATTGTAAGAGAACCGATACGAAGGCAACAGCGGTCCATATTTTCCTTTGCGGATTGAAATTATGAGACAACATTATGGTGTAAAAATCGCAAATTTCCCTTCGCGGAAATTCTCCTTTTATGAGATGGCACAAAAAAATTTTTTTTTTCTGTTTAGAAACAACACACCCTTTTAATGTGCGGCGCTCGTGGTAGCAACGTCGCCGTAGTGGAATACCTCGCGGAAGCAGTGGAATCGTTAAACGGTGAGGCAACTGACTCCACCGGGGCGACTGCTCTTCATCATGCAGCCATCACCGGACATCCGGCGGTAATCACAGCGCTTGCAAACATCCCGCGGATCGTACTGGACACCACGGACAAGGTAAATGGAAATGTTCCCTCATTTTAGTACGTCACTTCAAATTTTACCGCACGTCTGCACGTGAATACCCATTAGATTTCATATAGAAAAAATAATTTAGACTAACGTGTAAAAGATTCTCTTTAAGTCATTTTTCTAACGAAATATTATATTATTTCGTTGATTTCTGCAGAAACCACGGAAACGTACTCTTTCAAGAATTTTACTGTATAAAGATATTATCGTAAGGGAAATAGATTTTATTCAAAGATAAAAGATGGATTCTGCGTAACATCAAAGCAACTCAAGAAGTCACAGTAACTATTTCGATAGTTGTATTGTCAATAAAATGTGGTGTACATTACACACGCATACATGTACAAATATAAAGATATTGACAGTTTGAATTTGAGCATAATCGTCAAAGAAAAAATATTTTCCGTGAATTTGATATCAATTATTAAATCAATGAACAAATAACGTAATATATATATATATACAAATGACGATTGATCTATCTCGTTACAAAATTGGATGATATATATTAATTTACGCATCGTATACATACCGAAATGGACCAAATACGTTCTTGCGCAATACAGGCGTATTCCGACCTCAGTTTCTCGAATTTCGCATTGCAATTTGCAATGAGATATTCCACACTCGGAAATCTGATTCCCACCATTTTACCCAGATTCGGTGTATGTATTATATACATACATATATAGTATACTGAGATAGGATGTGCATATGTATATACATATATCTACAATATATACATACATATATATACGTATATATGTATAATATACACACACATATGCATACATCTTAAAGGATACTCGTCCATCTATCCATCCATTAACATCTTGATTGCCCGAACTTCTCCGGCGGAAGTTCTCTCGCGTAACAACACCACCAGTCAAAAGTGCTTCCACATAGGAAAATCATTTATGCGATCGCAACTGTGCGTACAGTTCGTTCTCATAAATTATTAATTAGTTGTCTCTCTCAGAAAATATTTGCATACATGAATTATGCGCAATTTCATGCCATCCTTCGCTTGAGAATCACAGACTAATTGCCTATAACAATATTTCGAAGCATAATTTCGCCTTTAAAAGCAGTAATTATTTGTAAAATAATGCAGAGTAGTACGGTTAATATGTGAATACAACGCTTTCAGCGATATATAATTCTTTGCGCGCGAATTGAAACTTGAAAGTAAGATGATTTGTCTGATTTAGCTCGAATAACGATCAATTAGTGTCCAATATAGCGTTCAATTAGCCATAACGTTTAAGAGAATAAAAATTCATTATCTTCCAATTGTAATAATAATTCAATCCAGCAGAAATTGTACATAAAGCGGATTTCGGAGAGAAAATCCGCTTTCTGGAATCAGTTATCACTTGACAACGCCATTCTCGATAAATCATTCGTGCAATCAATCCTCACAAGCGTATCTCTCTCTCTCTTTCTCTTTTCCCTCTCTTCCTCTCCCTTTTCTCGCTATTTCCGCTGGATGCGGGTCTCCTATGATTTTTATTCATACGCCACAACGACGATAAGCATCTGTCTACAATCCAGGATCAGGCTTGACGTGTGACCTGGGCATTCTTTGGAAGCTGCTTTCACAAGCTGCTTTCCGATGCAGAGAATATTGTTGTAGCATCCCTATAAGCACATTTAGGACATGCTTAAAAGCCCTGTTGATCCTCTGGCCCAACCCTTTATCCATCGAAAATATGTTATATCAAAAACGAAGCTCGATAAATGGAAGGGAAATTCTTATTTCTCGTACCGATCTTATTTGAATCTATATTTTCAATCGAATAAGATATTCTGTGGCGAGCTCCTGTATATTGCGTGAGTTTAATTCGTTTATCTCAATTTAATTTATTTTATACAGGCATTAATCTTATTTATAATTTCTTTGTCTTAATTTAATTAATTTCATCACGTTTTAATTAGATTTTGCTTTACTCCGAGACTTGACCATGAAGAACGTATGACTATATCCAAAACAAGATCGAGATTTATTCTCGCATGCAGGGGTTGACACAAAACATTTCAGTATGTACAATCTTATCACCATTCGTTGAAACATTATAATTTCAATCCACACATTTTCAATGTTCCAATTAAAATTGCGCGTTCGTTGGTTTCTTTTATATAAACTAAAGAAGGTCCGTGCTCCGAAATGTTCATTATATTATATGATATACATCTCAAAAATTAAAATTTAATTTTACCTTTTTTTTGGCTCGCTTCCTGACCTTCATATTGCATAATTTTTATTTTATTTGGATGCTGCATAACCTAGCAACTATTATGTGCGTAATAAAAATTAACGATTCAAAGCCGAACTTCTCTCAGCAGAATTGATAAATTATATTAAATTAAATTATATTGTTATTTGATTATGCTGTTATAAATTATATATTATTGCGATGTATTAAATCTTCCCCGCATACACGCAAAGTTATAATAAACATTTTAATGATAAAATTAAATATCACAAATTTATCTGAAAAACAGTGAAAACACATTAAAAATTGTACTAGAATAATAGCACGATGACTCGGCCATGGAACAGTACGGTATCGATCGCGGGGCGAATGAAGACACAAAAGGGGATATTTATAATTTATCGACAGGAACAATCGACCGTCCGTTTAACGCGCACGACGGTAAGAGGAACCGCTCGGATTTCCGCATGTGTAGTCGTATGTGTATATATACGTTCGCAGGTAGGTCAGAGCGCGAGCGCATCTCTCTCTTTCTCTCTTGATTTAAATCCTGGGAAACTGGATCTCTCTTTCTCTCTCTCTTCGGTGTCGACTGCCACAGTGTCCTTATCGAGAGGCAAGCGCAATCCCCTGAGGACTTCCGCAACTGTGAAACTCGACCAATCGCCAGCTTGAGTACATTTTACGGGAGCCTTTGTAAACAGACCCTCATCTCCCCGTATCCTAGATACTCTTGCTTTCTCATTCAATTTACTCGCGTATCCTTTCTCGATTCTCTTCGTTGCCGCGTACGGAATTCTAATTTCCCTGCGAGATAGGCGCGGCGCTCCTATTTTACATGCCACGCCGATTGCCGCGTATCGGTTAATCATTTTTGAGTAATCAGTTTTTCTTCCATCCTCCCAAAAATATCGATTTAATGCTGACTTTTAAAAAATCATAGAATCTATTGGAATAAGTGTGAATAAAAATTAAAAAACATATTAATATTTTCTATAAATAACGCAATTAATAATAGTCAAATATCTACGTATTTCTAATTTTGTGATATCTATGAATTAAGTTATTTTTATCCCATCAGAATTTTTATTTGATTACAAAAGCCGATTAGGAAAATTATTGAAATAATTGTGGGTAAAAGTAATCGCTTATTAAAATAATGTAATTGATAATCATCAAATCTGTATATCATAATAGAAAATGGAAGCAAGTCGTAGAATATCTTATCCTGTTTTATTAAAATATAACTCAGTAGATATTTATGTGACTAATTTTGATACAAGTTTGTTCGCTATAGAATGATACCAATTATGCTATAAAGAGTTCAGGCAAATAGAACGAATGTAATTTAAAAACTAAAAAGGAAAAAGAATTACTATATCATAGAATAAAAAGAGGGATACCCTAATTATCGTACAATAACTTTATAGGTCGTACATATTTTTATACGTATAGTTATATATACAGTTTCGTGACTAAATTTAGTTCAATTATATCATTTAAAAGACAAATTCATGGCTTCCAAGTTAGACCAAATTTATAAAATAAATATTAATTTAGTTGTCAAAATTACATAAAGAACATTCATCTGTAAAATTGTCTGCTACTTGCAAAACTAAAATGCAGTTTTTATGATAACGCAATAAACACCACTGATCAGTGGTCATGTTACAACGTCTAAACTAAACTATGAAGAAGTAATTTTGAGTCACTATATACATATATATATATATATATATATAGTCCATAACTTTTCACTTATTCCACTGTCTCCTTTCATGTAGTTATTAAATTAGACTATTACAATATATATATAATAATTATATATATATATATATAACATTTATACTTTCATTATATTATGACCAATTATATTTATTATTCCAATATAACATTTATTCAATATCAAATTATCATAATTTACAATTCAGATATGTATAATAATAATCTGTTATCTATATAACAGGAAATGTAAAAAATGGTTTCAATATGAAAATTTATATCTAAAAGATATTTCTCAATGTGACATTCAACAACTACATTAAAAACATTGCAATGCTGATATAATAGTCTCACTGCTAGTTAAAATTTTTGCTCAAAATTTCTTTAAATAAAAAAGTTCTCTCTCTTAGTTCTTTGCAATAAAATTGTTAAATGTCATTATAGATAATTTGTAATGAGATAAATTTATATTGAGTTCACTTTCAATGTTGCACAACATTAGATCATAAGTGTAACAGATATAATTGATATCTGAAAAAAATTGATATTAGAGAAAAGAAGTCACCCTTAGAGCTGAAACTATTATATCTAAAATTTTCAAACAGCTGTATTTAACATCCTGTCACTGCCTAAAGTTTGTAAAATGTCATATGGATCACAGAAATATTGCTTTTAAATTCCGCATGGTTTTCATTCGTTGAATAAACGTTCTGTAAAATAAGAAAAACTAAAATAGTATGTTTTTCTACATTCGCTGTAGAAGATACCTATAGAGAACATATGAATTGTATAAAAACGTTGTATTTTCTTTTATGCAAATATTACTGTTCAATCGAAAGATCTAAATAATTTTCAGAAACTTTTTTATTTGCATTTCAAAATAATATGATTAATATTATATTAATTCGTGTACACAAAAAAATAATTTTACTAAAATATCTAAAAATTTAGCTAACCACACAGAGAGATTGGCGAGAGAGAGAGAATAATTTTATTGAAACTATCAAAATAATTATATAAGCGAAAGTCAAGCGTAATGAATATAATACTGCAAAAATTATGACAATCTTATCTCGGGAATTTTACACGCCTGATTAAATTACTTTGACAGTTTAATAAAATTATTTTCAAATCTATATTTCATTAGCTTTTTCTGTGTAAGTATCAGTGTTGAATCATGAGAACGACCTACACCGTAAATATGAGAAAATTGCGATAATCGCGTATTTTTTTATAATGAATATACATATCAAAGTCTCAAGCACTAATTGACTTTCCTAAATCTGGATTTACTTCCAGAAAGGACAAACATCGCTGCACTGTGCCTGCGCCAAAGAGCACTTGGACGCGGTTGAGGTCCTTATAGGATTAGGGGCGAATGTAGATGCTCAGGATAACGATGGCAATACTCCACTTCACGTAGCTACTAGAACGAGGCACACAGGAATCGCGCAATTATTATTAAAGGCTGGAGCGAACACCGAGCTAATTGACGCGGTAAATTGAATAGTTGAGCGATTACATCTACTTAACGAACAGATGAAAAAAAAAAACCAATTTAATAGGATAAACGAAATTACGCGTATAAATCTATATTAGTAGCAATTAAACATTAATATTAATTTTTCAGAATAACTCTTACAGCGAATTTATATTTTTACTTGGCGTAGCTTCGATCTAAATAATATAATTTATATAATAAAGGATCATTATTGTGCATTGCATATTTCATATTACAATCATTATTTCATATGATTAATCTATATCAACTATCTCTTCAGGAGGGTTTTACTCCCCTTCATGTCGCCGCAAGTCAAGGATGCAAAGGAATACTCGACTCCATGATTCAGCACGGAGCAGATCTTAACAAGCAGTGTAAGGTACAGATATATCTCGGTATTTCCAAATATGATCCGTGCGGATACTACCGCATGCATAACGACTACCAATATTTTGTCGATGCATTATTATACACAGGAATACCTCGACAATCGATCGCAAGCACACAATCGCAATGCAATGAATAAAATTAAATGTCGGGAAGAAAATAGAACGTAAAAGAATTTTCACCGGAACAAATTGTTCGAATTTGTTTCATTATCTGTTGCAGAACGGTAACACACCTTTACACCTGGCCTGCCAAAACAACGAAGTAGAAACGGTAGAGATATTAATTAACAAAGGTGTCGACCTCAATTGTTTGAATCTGGTATGTAAAACGAGAACTACATTTTGTGTACTCTTAATAACATTGGCCGATACAATTTCCTTTTTCTTATATTAAATTGAACTGATAGGGTGTTTCTTATAGTATTTTTTGCGCTAATTTCATATTTATTTGGCAAATTCATGAGAAAAGCAGAGTTTTAAAATAACATGCATTAAAAAATTCTTTTACTTATTTCTTCTATTTAGACATAAATAAATGATTTATAGAGAAAACTGTACAACTGAATTTAATATAATTTTCTACTTATTAAAAAATTTCTCAAACAAACAATATTATTTCAATTTAAAAAAAGGTCACACATATAACAAGCAATTCAAAATACATAAATATTGTATTTAAAAAAAGATATCAGTTACAGAAAATTGAAATTCATAGAATAAGTTCTAACTTCCTTTTCAGAATCAACATCAATAAATACATAAGAATCAGGCAAAATTATTCATTTAATAAAATCATTATCAATCAGTGTAATCATCGTGAGATTGCACAAACGCGTTACCGCAAGCAATATTACACTTGCCAACCTTCAGACTAAAATTAAAATTTTTACAACTATATACGATATCGGAAAACTTGCAATAAGGATTGTTTGATTTTTCCATTTCCTATCGATTTGCTTCAGAGACTTCAATCGTCCATACATATCGCGGCTGAGATGGGACATACAGATATTTGCGAATTACTTCTTGCGGCAGGCGCGAATATCGAGCAAAAAGAACAGGTAAATACGTTTATGTAGTTTAGAGGTAAAACTGGATATTATCGTGTTATCCTTTGACGATATAATTAACTGAATCCGTTTGTGTTTCATATAAACCATATTATCGACGCTTGACTAAATTTATGGACATTGCCTCGTTATCGAATAAATTGCCATGAGTTTAGAGCTTGCACTGTGGTAGAATTACAATCAAGCACAAATTATTCAATAGTCAATTAAACTTTACTCATAAATTAATTGAACCCGTTTGATAATTTAAATCGTAATTTTTACAACATGAAAGAAAGTTCACGAGATGCGAGAACTAATAAAAAAGAGAATCTATTTAAATCTCCGTAAAATGTTGAAATTGTATGTTATAAATACAAATAAAGATAACTGTTTGGTTGTATATTATTACATTCTTTAATAATGCCTTAATTAAAAGATCCGCTTTAATGGTGACCTTCTACATTACAATGCTTTAAATCCAATCAAGATAACATTACCACAGTGCAAGTTTATTAGAAATCAAGATTATTCCACATGAACAAATTAAGCTAATACCCGACATGTTAATTATAAAAATGTTAATGAAATTAATGAGAGTACTTATACTCGTAAAATAACGAAACTTTAATGATTTATTTTCCAATATATAGTAAATGCAAAAAATATTTATATAAGGAAGTTATTTTTTTAAAACTTTTAAAACCTTAACTTTTAAATTTTTCTTAAATCCTGTTTTTAAAAAGCAAACGTTAAGTAGCAACTTATTGGTAAAAACAGTATATTTCTTAAAATCATTTTACTAAAAAGAATGTGTAACAATTAAAATATACATATTATTTTAAAAATAAACAAAAATAAAAATTGTTTGGATACACAAAAAGTATTCGTCGAAAAATTTAGATCAGGAAGAGAAACTCTTATTTATATTAGGACAAAACTAATTTACATTCTTTTTACATTCTGTTTATGAATATTTTGTTTCTTGCAACTTTTTGTTTTGTAGAAGCGCTACGAAAAAAAGTGCTGTAAAAGATTCAATCTTAAGACACAGCTCTAATAATATAACATCCCACTCTTGATTAACACATTGGACGAAAAGTCTGTTGCGCGTGCACGGTACGAAAGGAACGTCGATTCCGTCGACAATGTGACACGTGCCACGAGAAATTGACTCGCGCTATTTGCAGAAAGCAGCAAACGTCTTATTCCTGATCCAGCGCGCTGCGGTTAACGCGATATGGGTGCCGGATTGACGGCAACCGTCGCAAACTTCATAATAAAGTTAAACCGAAGTTTATCCTGACATTTACAGAGCGGCCGTACACCACTTTACATTGCGGCGAGGGGCAGTTTCACAGCCATCGTCGACATGATCATTAAGACCGCTAGATTAGATTATCCGACCCCGGTAGGTACACATCGACCGTAGTTACAAGAATTTCGCTCAACGTTAAACGTCTTTTCTTACCTCGAAATATCAAAGACGATAAAAAAAAAATAGAGAATATGTGATATTAACAGCCTCTCGCATATTTCAATCGCAAAAGGTGTCAATTTTAATTTATTTAGATCGTTTTTTACATCGCATTAATGTATAATTTAATGTATAATTCTGTAAAAATTTTATATTGCTTCAAATACTGTTCCAACAAAGGACACAAATTCGTGCGAGTCTAAATTTTAAACAAGGATACATGTTTTTAGTCACTACCTGACATACAGCACCGATCAATAATATTACAGCAATATTATTAATAACATTGCAATATTGTTACGAGCTTTGGTGTTATATGAATAAAGTCTGCTTGTCCTATATGTATTAAATTAAAATCAGATATGGTGACCAGAATAACAAATTGAATTTAAGGAAATTTCAAATTCTGACAAGGAGGTTCGAGAGTTGACTCCGGCACGAAGATGGTGGAGAGAAGGATCGCGTGGTGGCAGCATCTCCAGCAATAATGATCGTCTCTCGAAGCAAATCCGATCCGTTCTTTGGAAATTGGCCTACAAACAACTTGCTCCTGAAGATTGGAAGAAATTAGCTTTTCACTGGGCCTTCACTTCTGATCAGATCAGAGCTATCGAACATCAGTATACGGGTAAATCGATATTATGTATCGTAACATTAGTCTCTCATCGCAATTAATTAATTACGTTCTCAGAATATCAAAATTATTTATTTAGTTTCATATATATGTTGTATCTTAAAAAAAAAAAATGTTAAAATTTAGAATTAAAAACACCTCTTTCAGTTAAAGATTTTAAAAAATAATCACGGAGTCTAAAATTCATACAGCACAGATCATTCTAACCAAATTGTTACGTTCCAGCAATATTGCAGAAACATTGCAAACATTGTTGCAAGCTTCTGTACCATATGAAAAGCTATATCGAGGTACAAAATATGATAGCGAATTCAGTTGGACTAGTGCATACTCACAATCAGTACATATTAGTCGCTATACATTTATCTAATATTAGAGCATAAGTGAAATAGAAACATATTTCGAATCATAAAATACATATTTTACCAAACAGTAATAAAGTATATTAAGGATTTTGCGGTTTAACCCATTTCTATATTAATGCTAAACACATCTTTACACGTCAATATATATACAGCAGCTATACTGGCAATACGCGAGTATGTCCAACCGAATTCACTATAAGATTACTCACGGATGATTGATTATATTAATTTTATAAGCCAACTTTAACTAAATATAGTCAAAAAAAGAAATATAGATTTACCCAATCCTGCGTAAAATTAATTGCTGATTGTTCGTGCGGATTTGTACCTCAATGTTCCTATAGTGCGTCTAGAGCAGCCTTATGAAAAGGACGATAAAGCTCCAATTATAGGTCCCGCGAGTTTCAAAGAGCACGGATATCGAATGTTAATGATTTGGGCCTCCGGATTAAATCCAGACGTACCACTGATAAAAGAGCTCTGTGAAGCATTATCAGCGGTGGACAAGCAAGCAGTTGCTGGTATATATTTATATATAATCTGGTTTATTCCGGTATATATATTTATACATATAGCACATATAAACCCGTTTTTTTATTACTATTGTTATCCAATTGTTATCTCAACGAACTTCTTACTACGCGCTGTAAAAATATCCCTTATTCGCAAGGATAACAACGCATTACAGCGCGGCTGACGTTTATAGAGATAACAATAACAATCGTAATATATATCTAAGATTGAATTTCATATAGAATAGAATTTTTTGCAACGAGATTCTATTTGCTTTCACTGATTTTGCAGATTCCATTCGTAAACAAATGGAGCAAGATGATAATAAGATAAAATCGGAAGGACAACGATGTCATAAATGCTCCATTGCGTGAATATCTACAAGTGCCAAGTTCACACGCAAATTCTACATACATATGAGAATGTAATTTGAATGAAAACTGTAATTTGCGACGTAAAACGTAATAGCTGTTGTCAAAAACTTACCTGCATTTTAATGAGAAGAGTTCGACATGGCAAATGCCATTAACGAAGAATTTACGAGAAAGATAAAAAATACATACGATGTTGTATAAATACCTTTTGTACCAACAATTCGCAATGTTACACAAATTCTTAGGACACGAATTATGAGTACAATTTATGGCGCAGGTATAGCTATCACTATTTTGAAAGAACAAGAATTTCTTATAAAATCAGGTATGTAATTCAACAGTGTATACCGACATACACTAAGTATAGCGAGGGGGTAACCACTATCTGAAATATTGTCCCACAGATTACATGATTTCATTTAATTTTATATAACTTTATTTGATGACGAATAATTTTTCCTCACTATATATGCGGTCATTTGGTAAAATAAACGATTTTATTTAATATTACACAATTATTTCTTGTAATTGTCGGATTATATATCGAAATTTTATATAAATTTTATAATGATTTCAGAGACTCCGTTCCACGATTACATTAAGTGATTACCCCCTCGAAGTATAGTGTATAATACATTTTTTTTAGTCAAAATTTAATGTTTAAACCTAACAACGCGAATAAGACTTATCTGGAACAAAACTATAAAGTAATTTATCGATGTCATTACATTAAAAAAATCGATTTGAAAATCCGAAAAGAATAAGATTCATAATAAATTATTACTTCTAGTAATTGGACCAGACGGATTGCATAATCGTATCTTATTGTATTGTAGAAAAATTGATTGAAGATTGTAAGTACTTACAGTAGCTTCTCATTCACTCTCTATAAAATAAAAATTCTATGGACCCGCTATCATCGCTGGGTTAAATGATATTATTTGCACAATGCGACAACAGGGAGGAAGGTATTTGAATTATATACAAATATGTGCAAAAAACGGATACTTAAAACAGAGTATTTGAACAATTATATACGAAACCAAGCCGTCCTAAGCTAATCTTAATTTAAGCAGACTATCATAATTTCGTTTTGATGATTCTTTTATAGAGAAACGCCTCTATTATTTGTAGAAACAAAAGTACAGTTAGTATACAGAAGCCATCGAAAAAGTGGTACAATTATAAAATCAAAGTAACAATCGAACGTAGACTCTTCGGAATAATATTAATAACGCATAGATTAAGTGTGAGAGTAAATTTTGCAGGGCTTTCGATGTGATAACAGTTTATTAGATTAGATCTCAAATGAAGAACACAATATAAAATCGATAAATAGATATGCGATTATCGCATGGTTCTCGAGAGAGACAATCTACATATCTGAAATTTACAAATTTAGACTCTTAACTACGAACGACAACATTATATGTAATTTTATCTTATATTACGTAAAAATTATATAAACTAAAAATTATGAAATTTTGATTACATGAAATCAAATGCATAATAATAAATTTGTAAGCAAGAGGAAGTAAATTATCTCCTCTCCATCATATTTAGCTTATATAATTTTATAACATTGACGACTACGTGATTTATAAATATCAAGACTAATTAAATACGAAAATACTTTTTCTGCATTTTGTCTGTGTCAAATTTTCAATTTTTTTATAAAAAAAAAAACAATTATTAACAAAGCGATAATACGAAAAATAATATAGATAAGTAAATACTTACCGCATGAATTTAAAAAAAATCATGGACTTCCGAAGCTGCTTTCTGAAAGTACGTTTTACAACAATGTACATATCTTATCTTGATGTAATAAATCGTTGTATTCTGTATATTATTGTTGCAAACATTATATAAATTATATGTGTAGAAAAATGTAAGATTTTTATAAAATTATAATTTGTAATAAGTTGTACTGACAAATAAGTTCAATTTTTCAGGAAAAAAAAAAATCCGTATCTTTCATTTCGAAATTACAAACAGAAAACCAAGGAAAATAGGATTGAAGTGGGATGTCAAACAAGATGATGTGATAAGATAACTCGTAAATAACCAACAACTCCAAGCGTTTCTATTAAAATGTGAACGTTTATTAATTCATTTGGAATATTAATTACTCTATACTATAAAAGAATGCATTTGTCTAGCTTCTTAGTTCACAGTATATGTATAACAAAATACTATAAACAATAATATAGTATCAGAGTGGTGAATAGTAAAAATGGAGATGGTACTATCAACAGCAGTCGTACCGTGACGGATTATTCCGTGACTCTTTAAATCAATATTACAGACGTTACACAACCGTAGCCTAATGCGTGTCTTCCTTCGTTGTTGCGAATCTCCGAGATCTCTTTCGAAATTTATTTCGCAGAGGTATGCCGGGACGCAGGTTCATCATGAAGTATATATCAATACGCATCTTGTAACGCACTCGGGCTTATATTCCTGATCTGCTATTTGACAATAGAATGTATTTTATGGTTGTACATGCGTATAAATGTATCTCCACATCTAAAACACTACCCTTAGACCACTATAGCAATTTTAGTAAATACATTTGGCCTTCTAACCTTATGCTATTTTTTGCTGCAGGACAACCCATGCTAGCTCCATTCGTTATGACATCTTTGCGAAAAAAATCTTGAAATAACGGTAAAAGAATTATAAGACAAATGCAGATCCGAACATGCTTTTGAAGATATCAAATTCAAATGCATAGATTAATTAATTTTTCCGAATTTCTATTCAATACGCTCTAATACCTTTTAAAGGGTTATCAATTTCAAAGAAATAAATAATCTAATAATCTTTTCGTTAATATAACGTTGCAGACGACAGTGTTAATTACCTTATAAATATAATTTCAAATTTGACTAAAAATCGGGAAAAAAAAAATTATTTCCTCATATCGGATGCTGAGACTTTTAAAGCGAGTAAATCACACAAGAAGAAAAGGAAAAACATCGAGATCATGTAGAATGATCAAATCATATATGTATGTTCACAGTGAATTAAACTTCACGCGCGTTTGTGTGACTATTCTTTTACCTCAAGTCCATAAGCCTCACGTCATCCAGTCAGTAAATTGAACAGGACGTCTAAATAAACTTCCTGCGGCAAAAATCGAAAAAAAAAATATTAGATTCTACATTCTAACGCTGTCGTCGCGCGTGCAATAATTCTAAAACTGGAAAGAACTAAGAAAGCACAAAAGAGGAGAAGCAATAATTTGATCGTTCGCAAACGAAAATGAAAAAACTCGGAAGAAACTTTACGCGGTAGGATGAACACTGTCGCTGAGAATAAACCTAATAATTGGAGCCCTCGAGTCGATTTCTCAAGTATAGCATATAAATAAAAAAAGATATTATCCTTTTGAGGGCCTTTAACATGACGGTACGTTATCCGTCCGACTGATTGTTTCCTCATTGTTTTATGACACTTTTTTTTAGCATAAAGGATAAAGACGTGTTATTTTACTGTTTCTTATACTAATCGATACTTATCCGCAGTACAGTTCCAACTTAAGGTGCATCTCAATCCGCGATCGTATATTGACTTTAATACTCGCAAGCTATTTGGTCTTTGCGCCTACTTGGACCAGATGAAGTCGCTTGTGTCTGCTATTTAATCCGAATACGCAGACATGCAAACGTGCACGAGTTTAAAAATAATAGGAAATAATAGGAAAAAAAATACAAAGCCGCACAAATCAATCGCTGTAAGAGTTTAAACCTGCCAAAAATTTATTAATGACAGATCATTGATAAGTTCTCACGAGTTATTCATCACAAATATTTAAATTTAAATGTTATTCTTTACAAAAAAAAAATTGAACTTTTTGTACAAAAGTTATCGTCAATTATCTGTGTATATATTACACATATTATATATCATTATCTTTAATATATAATATATAATCTTTTTTTATAGTTATCCAAGATATAAAATTATAAATTTTATAAACTTTTAGAAATTATATAATTAATAGTAATTATGATGTCGAATTTCAATTGTAAAAACCGTAGCAATTTCTTGACTTCATTCAAAAACTTCAACGACAAATTTTAGGTGCACGATATTCAGGACGAAAAGTCAAGTGGTCTAAAATCGATTTCAACTTTAAATCGGAATTTGCTGCACATACATAAAAGTATCTCCGACATACAACCTCGCGAGTGGCACCAATCAATGAAGTGTCGTATTAGATCTTAAATCTACTTGACACTCGCTTGAATCGCTGTAACGTTCTACTTTTTCCATCACGGGTTCCGCAGTTTTTCTCTTTCCCTGTTGTGTACACCTATAAAAGTCGAGCTTTGCGAGCAACAACATTGCCTCTTCCTCGGTTGTGTTCACGCATTTATTGTACATCCCACGAAGTATCATACGTCGATCTCTTTTTCTTCACGTATTTTCTCCAACGTAGAAACGCAGATTTGAAGTAAAATAGGACATGTGTGTGTGTTCTCTATTACCGATATAAACTGCCTTGCAATAAGTATACATACGAATGTGTACATTAGCAACAAAAAAGGGGAAGGATCTCAAACCGAAGCCGAGACCGATTTTTGTCTTATTCCTTTTAGCGACGGTAAGGATGATAATTGTTGGTGTTCGACGTAGATCCTGTGTAACCCCTTTGGGGCCCACCGCCGTAGTTGTCAGTTCCTGGCGCAGCAGGAACACTCGACCCGTATCTGGCGCCTGTATAGAATCGCACAAAAGAACATAGTACTATGTGCCAGGACGTGGCAAGAGGACGTAATCGGAGAAGGTGGTAACATAGAGCAATAGCTCGCGTCATTCTACAACAACTCAAGAGACTGATCCTCGATGAAAGATCTGAGTATGTAAAAAGCGGAGGAAACTTGACATTTTTGCAATCCAAATCACAGATGATCATAAATAGATAAAATTTTGATAATACTTTCACCATTGAGTTTAAATTCTTCGGAGATATGCATCAGCCATCGACATAAATCTTATGAAATTTGTGTACATTGTGTTATTATTAATGATTTAAATAGTTTTTATATATATTAATATATGCATATATTCAGAAATTTATTACAGTTAATTCAAATAAATGTGATATTCGTACTATAATTTCAAGTTATTAAAAGTATTCTTTACTACGAAATATCGTAGCAATTTGGAGATACAATATTTTTAAATTGATAGGATTGCAAAAAGTTAAAATTATTGGAATTAACTAAAAAAATTAATTAACTTGGGCAATAAAGGAGCTAAACTTTTCACAAACTCCAAATCTAATCGATAATGAATATTTCAGATCAAATAATTACCAATTAATAATAAAATAATAATTACAATTTAAGCGTTTTATTATTATCAATAGCACATTGCGATCGTAAAGATGGATTTGATTGGATTAATCTAAGAAATCAATATTATTGAAAAATAAATTACTGAAAGATGAATAATTGTACAAATAACTGTACACACACACAATCTAAAAAGTATAATTCACGATATATGAATAAAATAAATAAAACACACACTATGAGAAAAAATTACGCTATGTAAACTCATATTTAATTATTGTATATAAGTTAAGCGTTAGAAATTCCCAATCACAATTTATAATAGATTTCACTTTTAAAAAAATTATATCTGTTCACAAACGAAAAAAAGATAATATTAAGAGAAAATTACAAGAAAATAAATACTGCCTTTTTTTTAGATCGCTTAGATTCATAAATATTTAACTAATTCTCTACTGTAATAATATACATAACAGCTAGGTAAAGATAAAAGAAACAACATGAAAATATAAAATAAGAACAAAGAGAAGACCAAAAATATTTGGAGCAAGCAAAAGTGAAATCTGGAAGGAAAACATTCTGAAGGTACTACGTGTAGGATCAGAGAATATATGTCTCGCATCTGAAACGATCTGAGGCGCAGAATGGATAGGTAAATGGATAGATAGATAAATAAATGAATTGATGGATGGAAGAATGGGTGAACGGACAAATGGAGTTTTGCGGAAGGTAATTTGAAAACTCTCGAGAGCAAACGGGCTGAATTAATATCACCGATCTATATATAATAGATCTCGAAAGAGATTTCACACATCTTCTTTCCGTATCCGAGAGATCCGAGCGTGCATCATAGCAGTGGCTTTTAGGACCTCCAGACGAGTTTCGAATCGCGACGAGTTCGTGACTAATTTGCAAAAAGGGACGCTTGAAAAACGGGTCAACTCGTTTGCACCAACTTTACATCTGTTCACGGCAAGACGCAAAACCGGAACGTCAACGC